CGGCCTACCCTGCACATGAGTGGACCACATTCCTGTGCTCAGGGAATGCTTAAGATAGGAGACTTGAGTATGTCTGGACTTGTCTGTTGAAGCTGGGGGTGGCTAAGGGGTGCAAGGGGGCACCCACTTTGTCAAGCATGAATATCACCAGCACCACCCTGTCTTTAAGACTCCTGCTACCCTCCTGTCATCTGGAAGGCTTCTTCAACCCACCTACCTTACCCCACCCCTCCCGCCAGACAATGAGTTAGGCAGGATTGCCACGGGACCCAGGCCTTATCATGTGTCCAGTGTCTCACACCTGTCTCCTTCACTGAAGTGTGAGAACCCCCAGCAATTCCAAGTCTTTCACCTCCGATCGCCCAGTGCCCAGGGTGTGGCCTGGCACACAGCCTGCAGTAGCATCTGAACTCACACTTAGTGAACTATGTGCCAGTCTCTGTACTAAGAGTATTTATTTTACCTTATTTTTGTTTTTTCTTTCATTTTATTTTAGAGACAGGGTCCTGCTATGTAGCCCAGACCAGGCTGGAACTAGCTATGTAGGCCAGGCTGGCCTTGAACTCTCACCTCTTGAGTGCTGGGATTATAACATATCCAGTCATATATTTCTCTTGATTTTTTACAATAGTCCTAAGAGGTAGTATTTTATTGCAAATGACATGGGGTTGACAGAAACAAAATTCAAACAAGCTTAAGCTAGCAAATTTATTGGCTCAACTAAGGGAAAACCTAGAAGTATGCCTTCAGGCATGACTGGATCCAGAGATTCAGAGGACAATCAGGCTTCTTCTTCTACTTCTTCTCTCTCTCTCTCTCTCTCTCTCTCTCTCTCTCTCTCTTTCTCTCTCTCTCTTTTTCTCCTACACACACACATTTCTCTCTCTCAGCTTGCTTCTCACTGCCTGGCTTCACTTTGCCAGCCAGAGGGAAGCTTGCTGTCAGCAGTACTTACATCTTAGCTGAGCAACCACAATGGGAAATACCAATGCTCTCAACTCAGCAGAAACATGAAGGCCCTGATTGGCTCATCTTGCCTGTACTTGATGACAGGGGCTAGAGGAACAATGTTTGGCTGCCCACCAGGAGAAAGAAGTGGGACACCTTCTCCACCATGGTGGGGGCTGAAGACAGGGTAAGATAGGTGGCCAAAGGAGAATTTAACATGGTTGGTTTGATGCAGAGGAGATCTGCTCCCTCTCCAGCCCAGATACCAGCCCTCCGTGAGTTCTGGGATAGACAAGAGCCCAATCAAACACAGGTCTTGACACAGTCAGGGACCACCACAGGGCAGTTGAACTCAGGCCTAAACCATCACCTGTTGCCCACTGAAACTATGATTCACATCTCTCCCCCACCCTCCCACTTTTCCCATAATGCATGGGGTGTGTCTTTCTGTACCCTTCTCTCTTACAGAAGGGACCAGATCAACTGTAAAGCCAAGAGGCACAATTTTCTTCTTTTTTGGTGGTACTGGGGTTTGAATTCAGGGCTTCATGCTTGCTAGGTAGGTGCTCTACCACTTGAGCCTCTCTGCCAACCCGCAAGGGGCTCTATAACTGGGGTACCACCTAATGCTTCTAAGGCCAAACTGGCCTCTGGTCTATACCTTACACAAGGGAGAAACTTCTTACAAATACCACACCCATGGCCATTGAACAATCACGCACACGAGACATTAGCCCAGCCCAGCGAGCCCGTAAGAGCTCACTTCTTCCTTTTTGGGGCAGCCTGATCTTACTCTATCAGTTCAGGTCCCCTTCTCCTTGAGGAAAAGCTTCCATTAAAGCTTTGCCTGTGTCTCTGTATTCCTCAACTTGGTTTCAGCTTGTTGTCCCCAGGTCAGAAGGGTTTTTTGTTAGTGGTGGTGGTGGTGGGAGTGGGGTTAGAACTAAGGATTTCACTTGACCCACACCTGCAGTCCATTCTGCTCTAGTTATTTTGGAGATGGACTCTCATGAACTAATTGCCTGGGCTGGCCTCCAACTGAGATCCTCCCAATCTCTGCCTCCCAAGTAGCTAGATTACAGTTGTGAGCTACCACACCCGGCTCTAGCATCAATTTGAGTTTCATTTCTGAAACTCTGATTTCTATGAGTTCAAGGGCTTAATCAGTAAAATATACGTAATAATAGTATCTATCTTGTGATGAGGATTAAATGCAATAATTCCAATACATTATGCACTTAGCACAGGTCTGGCACACAGATGGAGACGTTCAGTGCTATCACAGTAGCTGTTCATTGAATGAATAAGTGAGTGAATGGTACTGGGACTCAAGCACTTGAGATTTTGAGTAGTTCCCTATGCAGAACGAAGCCCTGGGGGCAGGGCTTGGAGAGGGCTTTGGGCCCTTGATAATCTCCACCACCACTAAAAGCACTTGCCTTGGATATTCCGTTTCTTTGAGCTGGCAATTAACTTTTTTTTTTTTGCAGTGAACTCAAGATTTACATCTTTAGCTACTCCACCAGCCCTTTTCTGTGATGGGTTTTTGAGATAGGGTCTCTCAAACTATTTCCCAAGGACTGACTTCCAACCAAAATCCTCCTATCTCTGCCTTCTGAGTAACTAAGATTACAGGTGTGAGCCACTGGCACCTGGCAATTTTTAGTTTTTTATGAAGTGGAAGTTACAGCATGTTTAGAAAATGCTGTAAATGTTAAGGCAGGCAATGGTGATGCATATCTATAATTCCAGCTATTTAGGAGGTAGATGAGGTAGGAGGATCTTGGTCTGAGGCCAGTCAGGGCAAAGTTAATGAGAGACCCTCTCTGAAAAACAATCTAGAGCCAGGCACCAGTGGCTCGGGCCTGTAATCCCAGTTACTCAGGAGGCAGAGATCAGGAGGATCTTGGTTTGAAGGCAGCCCAGGCAAATAGTTTGCAAGACCCTGTCTGGAAAATACTCATCACAAAAACAGGACTGTTGGTGTGGCTCAAGGTGAAGGCCCTGAGTTCAAGCCCCAGTATCACAAAAAAAAAAAAAATCTAAAAGCTAAAGGACTTGGAGTAGCTCAAGTGGTAGTGTCCTTGCCAGGCAAATGCAAGCCCCTTGAGTTCAGTCCCCAGTACTGGAAAAAAGAAAATGAAAAATTCTGTAGGTGCCACTGATCTGTAACTTTTCTCTAGCAAGTTGCCAAGCCCACTATCTCCGATGACCACACCAAGCCCCTTCTAGAAGGAATTCTAGAGCTACAGCTGGCTCCTAAGCTTCCTGTAGCTGGGTGTGCAATGGACATGGTCCCAATTTATGACCTTATGTGGGTAAAGAGCTTTGAAGATGCCAAGGACTGCAATTTAGCCTGGGAGGTCGTCCAAGTTCGAGCACCGAGGAATCCAGGAGTCCAGGAGTCTAGGCAGGGCTGGGGTGGGCAGATGGAGACAGGGCAGGGGACAGGACAGGCCTACCAGGCCAGCAGGGCACCATCATAATTTCCCCACTTGTAATTACACTTGGCTCCCAAAAGCTTTAGAATTTCACCCACATCAAGTAGGCACACAGTGTCCCATGTCCACTGGGCACACATTGTCTGGGATAGGTTTTGGTTTCTCTCAGATTCAGGTCCCCATCCAAGAGGAATCTGCCACTGGAGGATGAGGCCCTTACCCCAGCAGGCAAGAACAAGAGACTCTCCAAGGATTGGCAAAGTGACTCAAGCAGTAAGAGCACCTACCTAGCAAGCGCGAGGTCCCGAGTTCAAACCCCAGTGCTTCCAAGAGCAAACAAACAACAGAAAAGAGCCTCTCTGAGGGATGGATATGGGGGAAGGGAGGGACCCTGCCACAGAGAAGGGAAGGGAGGAGGAAATGAGGCAAACCTTGCTCAACCTCATGGTGGCCCCACGGGAGTTTGCCTGAGTCTATACAAGGCTGGAAGCTCCAAGTCCAGGACATGAAGACAGTGAACTGTAAAACCAAGGTAATACCATGCAGGTCACCTCCCTGTCCTCAGCCCCCATTCAAGCCCTCAGAGAAGCCACTACTGATTCACTTCTGCCTGCTGGGCATCTGGAGACACCTGGATTTCTCCCACTGCTTGAGCTGGAGTTCTGCCCTTCTTGGGTAATCCTGACCAAGGCACTTAATGACAATACCAACAAAGGGTACTCACACCTGACCTCTCCAAATTGTCCCACCAGAGTCACCATACATGCATTATCTCATTGGATACTTACAACACTTTGAGACACTGTGCACCCACTTTACAGACAAGGAAACTGAGACTTAGAAGAGTGGGCTGGGGGTGTAGGTCAGTGCCAGAGTACCGGAGCACTTACGTGGCACAAAAAGAGGGGGAAAAAAAACCCTTTCTTATCTGAGAAGTGGTGTAGCCTTGCCAGTCATCCAGCTAATACAGTCAGAGCTGGATTTCAAGCCAGGTCCTCCAAAACTCCAAAGTGCACACTTCTACAATCACAGGGTGTAGATCAGCTGATTATCACTACCCCTGCACCTAGGGTTCCACATCCTGCAGAGATGAGGAAACTGTGGCTTAGGGAGGTCAGGGGACCCACTGAAGTGGAAAGTGATGGAGCCAGGATGTAAACCTTGCTTTGGTTCTATCATCAACCCATTGTCCATTTTGCAAAAAAAAGATAGAAGGAAGGAAGGAAGGGAGGAAGGGAGGAAGGGAGGAAGAGAGGGAGAGAGAAAGAGAGAAAGAAAGAAGAAAGAAAGAAAGAAGGAAGGAAGGAAGGAAGAAAGAAAGAAAGAAAGAAAAGAAAAGGGACTTGAGCAGATAATCTGAAAGGTTCCCTTCTGGTTTGAAGCAGTCATTCAACAAACTGTGGACCCTTTGAACTTGGACCTCTGCGCTCTCACAGAGGCCCGCCCAGAAGTCTCCTTTCTGGGAATTGTGGCCATGGTCACCTCCTACAGGGTGGCACCCACCCCGTGACCCACTCCTACTGACCCAGGTCCTCCCTGACCCATCAGTGAGCCTGCGGTGAGAGTGTGCAGCAGACAAGGGGACTGAGCATCCGTTCACGCAGGGACACCGCTAGCAGCCCTGCGCACCACACCCTTTGTGCTCAAACCTCGGGAGCCCCCTCCTGGCTCTGCCCAGCCGCCTCCTGGTAGCCTGGAAGCCTCCAGGTCTCGGGTCTGGCTTAGGGACACACCCCGGGGGAGGAGCCACCTTCTCCCGGCCTGCCAGCTCGGGCCATGCAGCCAGCTCTAGTTTCTGCTCCGCCTCACGGGGACGACATGGCACACGAGCGTCCCTCCTGCGCCCTGGAACCCGAGCACGTCCAGCGGCTGCTGCTGTCCTCTCGCGAGGCCAAGAAGTCAGCCTACTGTCCCTACAGCCACTTCCCCGTGGGGGCCGCCCTGCTCACCGGCGACGGGAGGATCTTCTCGGGTAAGGGCGCGATCGGGTCCCCAACCCTGCAGCCAGGGCGGGGATCAGAGGACGTGCGGAACGGCGCCAAGACACAGGTGGAGAGAAGAGCTCAGCGCTGTCCCTCCTCGCTGGGCCTCCCTGCCTCCTGCCCTGGACAGTGCCCAGCTGCTTCAGCCGAGCGGCTGGCTCCCGGTTCTTGGAGAACCCGGGTGGGGAAGGAAGTTTGCAAGGGAGGCAAGAAAGGGGAGGCCAAAATCAAGAGCATAAGAGAGGGTTACTGCGTTTGCAGCCTCACCTCTGACCCTGACCTAGGTTATGCCCATTTTTAGATAAAGAAACTGAGGCCCAGAGACTTAATCCAAGGTCAGAGGGGTCCCTGGTGATGGAACCCCAGGGCTAAGATCCACCAAGTTCTGCCTTCACGCTTGCTAGGCAGGCGCTCTTACTGCTTGAGCCACTCCACCAGCCCTTTTTTGTGATGGTTTTCTTTTTTCAAGATAGGGTCTCATGAACTATTTGCCTGGCTGGCTTCAAACCTCAGTCCTCCTGATCTCTGCCTCTTGAGTAGCTAGGATTACAGGCATGAGTCACCAGGGCCGGGCTGCTGAGGGCTTTTTTTGTTGTTTGTGAGACTGTGGTTTGAACTCAGAGTTTCCTGCTTGGCAATCTACCACTTGAGCCACACCCAACTCTTGTTTTTGAGATGGATCTTGATCATTTTGCCTAGGGCTGACCTGGACCTTGTGACACCCCTCCTTCTGCCTCTCCAGTAGCTGGGATTATAGGTCCTCGCCTAACTAGCCCTGCCCTTGTCCAGCACCCAGTGCTGGAAGTGGCTGGGGCAGAAAGGAGGAGTAGTCAGTGGAGTGGAGCCTGGCAGAAGGTCTGGGAGGAGAGAAACCAGGCCCAATCTGGGTGTGCAGAAATCACCAAGTCCACACGGATCTGCTTCTCAGCTCCTTTTCTTTGGCTCCCTGGCTTTGGAGACAAGCTTACCCTGGCTGGGCTGCAGCTCCGCAGAGTTCTCGTCTCACCTGCAGGAAACCCTGGGTTTGTATCCTGGCACCACAAAAAGAAGTGAACAATGACCAAAGCTCACCTGACCAAAACTACAGCTTTGCTTTTGCTAAGTTTAGGGGATTCAAGTGTTCCATATCACAGAGCTGGGATTGTGATCCACAGTTCCCAACTCCAAAGTCTGCTACTTTGGAGGGCAAAGGGTTTCTGAGTGTCCCACTGAAACTCAGGCCTGGCCTGGTAGCCAGATGAGTGTTGAACGTTAAGTAGCCTGGCAAGCAGGGTTGGTTACAGCACCTTGAACATGGCATCAACCATTGGATCTTTCCAAAGCCTCTACATCCCCTCCTGAGGGCACAGAAAGCCCCTAGTGTAAGGAAATGTAGGCCCCAAAAGTGACCACGTGGAAAGGAGTTATCTGCCCAAGAGATTCTTTATTGCCAGGTGGGAGAGGGAGAGAGGAGAGAGCCGAGAGAGAGAGAGAGAGAGAGAGAGAGAGAGAGAGAGAGAGCGAGAGAGCGAGAGAGAGAGAGAGAGAGAGAGAGAGAGAGAGAGAAGGGCAGGGGCTTAAATACCCCTCAGTGGGACTCAGCATGATCTGATTGGTTAGGATCTTTTGGTTCATGCTGATTGGAGGTTGAGGCAGAAGGAGGATTCAAGCTAGACTTGAGGCAGGACCGTGACCCTGGAAAACAGAAGCTTAAGGGTGCAGTAAGAACTGAAACCTATCAGCACCATTACTGCCAACACCTAGCACCTCTGCTGACTCCTTCCAGGGCACTTTTCATGAGACACCATTGCTGTTCATCTCTTCCCCTTCCCCCGCATTGCACTTTGTGCTACAGAAGGCTGGGTCTATGTCTTGGACCTGTGTGTCACTGACAGCACCTGCCTGGCCCCAGGAAGACACTCAACCCATGGCTGGCTGACTGACCTTGAAGAAGATGAGTGAGTTTGGAAAGACAGAGGGAGAAGCAGCCAGGTTGATGGTGATGGATGGTATCCAACCTGTCAGGCCGTGGCATTTCCTGTCCTGGGGGCCCTGCAACTTCCAGGGACAGGGCCCTGGAAGGGCAGTGTTAGCAGTAAAGGAAAGGAATGTGGCTCTAGGATTTGCAGTCAGGTGGAGTAGGGAGCAGGGGGGGATGAGGAGGCACTGCCCCAGGTGGGAAGCTAGAGGCAGAGCTGAGTTGTGCTGAGGACAAGGTCAGCAAGGACCAACCACAGTCCTCCTGGCTACTGTAGAGTGAGCACTCACCAAGCACTTCATTGAAGATCTCTGATGACCTCACAACCACTGCAGGAGGGAGAGAAAAAAAGAGTGTTGTGTGCACCAGTCAGAGGGCTTTCCCTTGAATGACAGAAACCTCCAAGACATGAATGAGCAAGGGGAGCTCTTGTTTCAGGACAGGTTGGCCCAGGAACTTGGATGTCACCATGCCCTTCTCCATTCTGTGATGCTGACTTCCTTCTATTACCCTGCAGGTAGGCTCTCTCTGGGCATCAAACAGCTCTGCTTTTCATTCTCACAGCCTTGAAACCAACTAGGAGAGAATTTTTCCCCCACCTCCATATGGAAAGGGCTCTGATTGGTCCATCTCCAATCACAGATGCAGCTCTGGGCCCGGCACTGTAGCCCTGGTGGGGTAGAGTGATGGGGTCAGCTGATTGGCATATCCCTCCTCCATGGGGAGTGGGGTGGGGTCTGTTACCACAAGAAGAAGTATGGGGGGCAAGCACCCACACTTGGGGTAACTGAGGCCCAGTTCAATTCAACTCTAAACACCATGCTCTTTTGGCAGCCCCTTGCTGCAGAGTGGCTACATTGAAGTTTGCCCTTGAGCTGGCTGGGGTCCTTTTGCACTATTCTGTTGGAAATCACGAGTAGGGGAGGTGTCGCTCTTCCAGCGCTGGTAGTCCTAAGCTCTGGAGTGCCAAGGGCTGTGGGCTAGGTGACAGACTCAGAAGCTTCTAGCTCCAAGCCCTGAGAAGTAGAGACTTATGGTTCCCAGCTTTCGAATCAGGAGTCTTTTCAGCTTTCGGTTCTCGGGTTCGAGGCTTGTTGCTTGGGCTTTGACTGCCAGTGGCCCAGCATTCCGCAGTTAGTGTAATCCTCAGCTCGTGGCAGCAGTCAGCAGTCAGCACTGGCTAATGCTGCATCTTCTAAGGCTTGAGAACTGGGACCCTCAACCTGTAAGGCTTGGCAGCTCCCTGGAACTCATCCAGCAACTGGGGCGCACCTCTCCTCTGTGGCTCTTCACAAACTTTCACCTTCAGCCCCTGCTGTGTCTATCCCCAGTTACTTTCTGGAAGTCCTCAGCTGCCTTATCACTACTGCTGCTACCACTGTCGATAGCACCACGGCTACTGCCTCTGTTTCCTCTGTTACCAGCTCCACTCAGGCCACTCTATCAAGATATAGATCACAAGTGGGGCAGGGTGCAGGTGGTTCACGCCTGTAATCCTAGCTATTCAGGAGGCAGAGATTGGGAGGATTGTGATTTGAGACCAGCCACCCCCTTCTCAATCAGTAAAAGCCAGATACGGTGGCACAAGTCTGTCATCCCAGATAAGTGGGAAATAGGAAGATCACAGTCCAGGCCTGCTCGGGCATAAACTTGAGGCCCAATTGAAAAAAATAACGGCTGACGAAGTGGCTCAAGGGGTAAAGCACCTTCCTAGCAAGCATGAGGCCCTGAGTTCAAACCAGTACCAGCCCCCAAAAAAAATTTTTTTTTAAATAACTAAAGTGAAAAGGGCTGGGTGGCCAGGCACTGGTGACTCACACCTGTGGTCCTAGCTACTTAGGAGGCACAGATCAGGAGGATCACAGTACCAAGCCAGACCCACACAAATAAGACCCTACCTTGGAAAAACCCTATCACAAAAAAGAGCTGGTGAAATGGCTGTAGTGGTAAGAGCACCTGCCTAGCAAGCATGAGACCCTGAGTTCAAACCCCAGTGCTGCCAAAAAAAAAAAAAAAACACACACACAAGTAGTCAAGCAAGAAACATTCTGGGTTTTTTTTTAATTTTGATTTTTTTTTCGTTTTGGTGGTGCTGGGATCTGAACTTAGGGCCTCACACTTGCTAGGCAGGCACTCTACTACTTGAGCCACATCTCCAGCAAGAGAAAATCATTCTGGAGAAGACTTTTATTTATTGAGCCCAATGTTGCAACACCAGGATGAGCTGAACAGTCTGCTTACTTACCCAAGAGGGTGGTGTGACCTGCAAATGTGGAGAATGTAACTTGCACCAATCACAGCTCTACTTCCAGTTTTTTCAAAACCAATCACAGCCAAGTGCAAGTAGAGCTCTCCTGTCTGTCAGTCACAGCAGGGTCATCTGAAGTTCCTGGAGGCTTGTCTTACACTGGTGCAGGCTGTGACTGGAACAAGGCCTCCTGAAGCGGGAGTCATGTCTATGCAGCCATGGTTACAACTTCCTTTGCAGCTGGAGTGCAGTTGTCTGGGAACAACTGGAAGCTCAAGGTTGCCAGGGATAAGGGAGAGTCTGTTTCATGACCCACTCTCCACAGCTTCGCTCACAGAAAAATACTGAAAAGTGCTTATAGTCAGGCAGCAGAGGCTTACACCTGTGATCCTAGCTACTTGAGAGACTGAGATAGGGAAGACTGAGGTTTGAGACTGGCCTGAGAAAATAGTTCAGTGACGCCATCTCCAAAATGCCCAGAGCAAAACAGACTGCAGGTGTGGCTTAAGTGATAGAGCCAAAAAAAAAAAGAGTGCTTATGGAAGAAGATGAACACTACGCAAAACTAACATGCTCTACGGCATTTAACAGTGCTTAACAATGTTTGCTCTAGGGAGAGCTGAGTCCTTCTGTGTGTCTCAGAAGGGGCAGAGAGGGTTGTGCTGAGAAGACTGACAAATGGAGGACACTAACAGATCTCTTTGAGACAGGAAGTGGGGCAGGTGCTGAAAGGGAGGCCTGGTGGCAGTAAGGGGAGAAAAGGGGACCTCGGCCAACCCGAGGAG